GCTGCTTCTGTGTAGGACTGTTGGCGCAAGCTACATTAAAGTGATTATTACATTTTGAATATGGATATTTTTCTTACAAAAAAAAGCATCAGTTCGCTACAGGAGGCCTTTGTTCACCCCCCGGAGCCGTGTGAGACACTTTTTTTTTTTCATGGATGGGCGCTTTTTATTTAACTTCTTTTGGACTGATGCAACACCCGCTGAGTGGCATTAAACAGCTTCAAAGATCAAAGACAATTTTTAATATAACTCCGACTAGATTCGTCTGAAAGAAGAAAGTCATATACACCTAGGATGACATGAGGGTGAGTAATTTGTGGGCTAATTTTCACTTTTGGGTGAACTAACCCTTTAAGCTGATATGACCAGTAATGTATGCAGTATTTACCTAGTCTGCCAATGATATTTCTAGAAAACAAGATGGCATATGAGGGCATCACCTGAGATCATGGCGTTCTGAGGGGAGATCATTCTTAATGTTGATTAGAGGAGCCGAATACTCCCAGTGCGGATATGTTCACTCAGTTTCATTCATTTGCTGTGTATATAAAACCTTTTTACAATTTTGGAGTGGAAACTCAGAAGTAAAATATAGCAGGGTAAACTTCTTTAGAGGTACATGGGAGACGCTAGCAAATATTATGTTTGTGATCACCCACTTTTGCATTTACATGGCTTTCCAAAAGGGGAAAAAAGATCTAGAAAAATGCATTACAGCATTCAGAAGAGAGCAATTTCTGGTCAGTATAATGTTGTTTTCATCAGCAAAGCGTCTCTACATTGTAACGGTGGTATTATCTCTCTTAATAACAGTGTTTTTCATATTTCACTCATTGTGATATGTGGGTTGATGGAGTGTAAGGGAGCATTATATTTCTATAAGAGAAACAGTAAATCGTGGTTCTCCAAAGTTCAAAGGGCTATAAATGTAATTGCAATATTGAAATTATTTTTGGTTGTCCATGAACATTTAATGTTTATTTCTGTTTACAGCTTGTTTACAGGGTGTCTGAATAGTGATAGCTGTTGAATAACACCTGCAACTAGAGTGGCATGCATATCCATTAAGGAGTTTAGTCAAGGATGCTCATCTGAGTCAAACATGCTGAACTAATTAGTAGACCATCTCTCGTCTTTCTCTCTGTCTCTTCCTGAAGCAGTAGTCATACTGTACAACTCAGAGAAGGGTTATAGTAGCTCCCAGAGGTGTACTGCAAATCGTGGGGGCCCCTGAGAACCATGAGAACCATTTGCATCAGTTTGAAATAGTTTTGCTGGAAAAAGAAAGTGATGTTATTTTAGACAATTATTCTCTTGCAGTGAATTATTTTCTCTTCATTCATCCTTGTATGTGCTAAATTATTTTCTTTCTATCATTCTGTAAATCTGGTAGGCTGCAGCAAGTCTATAACAGTTCATCAGAGATTTAAAATAGTAACCACGAAGTAAACATTTGACCAAAATTAATATAACAATAGCTATGGTATTTATTTAATTTATTATTATAATAAAATAGTAAAATAATTACATGATAAAAACTATGATGATCTAAACAAATAGTGAAATTGACAGTTTCCATATTTACTGTGTGAATATAAATTACAGTTGCATTCAAAAGATTTTTTTTGAAAGAAGTAAATAAGTTTTATTGAGCAAGTACACATTAAATTGATAAAAAGTGACAGTAAAACATTTATAATGTTAAAAAAGATTTCTATTTTTAATAAATGCTGTTCTTTTGAAAAAAGTATTACATAAAAACAGGATTGTATATGACTGGATAAATGGCTGCTGAAAATTCAGCTTTGCCATCACAGGAATAAATTACATTTTTAAAATATAGATTTTTCTAAGGTTATTGTACTTTTTTCATGCTTGAGATGAATTTTGAGAAATGTAATATGTGAAGAAAATATAATTATTGTATTTAATTTCCTATCAAGTTGCTAACACATTTGTCAAATTATGTATTGTACAAAGGAATCAGCCATTTAATTTAAAGCATTTCTCCCTTTGTCTAGGTATATACACTGACAAATTAAATAAACTAGTGAGTTGTTTTAAGAGACGTGTATTTTGACAAAAATACGCTGCATTTATACTGCCTCTGTGCAGCATTGAAAGGTCTTTTGTATTTTTGCCTTTTTATGCACCATCTGTGCAGTTATATTGTTCTAGATTTAACCTTAAAAAACATATATTAAGCATAAAACATAAAAGCAAATTTGGCTCATGAGTCATTAGTCCCAAATAGGGGCCCCTGTGGATTAGAGGGATGTTCCATATGCCAAGCGTAGCTCCATAGGTGGTAGTTGAAGTTTTTGTGGTATATAGTAAAGAGTCAAGTTTATTGAGTTTTGTTAGTTTTCATTCATCTCGTAGAACATATGTTGGATTTCAAACCTGAGCTCCATGGATTTGATATTCCAGATGTTTGTGTGAGTGACGGTCTCTCCTGAGAAAGAGCAGTTTTGGCCTTGGGGAATTGGCTCCATTCATCTTTTACACTGTGGCAGAATATAACTACAAAGTTTAATGTCTACAATATAAAGTTTTATTCCCCGTTCTCGTCATACAGGATCAATAAATTATCTTATCAGGATCAATAGGGTATCATATGTTGTTGTAGGTGAACAAGCTGACAAAGGCAGTCTGAGGAAAAATTACTTTTTCATGTTGAGAAAGTGTGAAGAAATAGAGAGTAAGAATAGGAGTGATGTGAATATAAAATAATGAATGAACAGAAGTCTGTTGTGTTTGCCATTGCGTGACAATCACCAACATTTACATTTCTGCCCCTCAGAATGAACAGGATACTGTATTTGTGTGTGAGTCTTCCAGGTCTTGATCTTTGTGACTTTTTCAATCTGAGCCCCTACTGAGGGCAGAATTACCCTTATAATGTTAAAAAAGATTTCTATTTTTAATAAATGCTGTTCTTTTGAAAAAAGTATCACATAAAAACAGGATTGTATATGACTGGATAAATGGCTGCTGAAAATTCAGCTTTGCCATCACAGGAATAAATTACATTTTTAAAATATAGATTTTTCTAAGGTTATTGTACTTTTTTCATGCTTGAGATGAATATTGAGAAATGTAATATGTGAAGAAAATATAATTATTGTATTTAATTTCCTATCAAGTTGCTAACACATTTGTCAAATTATGTATTGTACAAAGGAATCAGCCATTTAATTTAAAGCATTTCTCCCTTTGTCTAGGTATATACACTGACAAATTAAATAAACTAGTGAGTTGTTTTAAGAGACGTGTATTTTGACAAAAATACGCTGCATTTATACTGCCTCTGTGCAGCATTGAAAGGTCTTTTGTATTTTTGCCTTTTTATGCACCATCTGTGCAGTTATATTGTTCTAGATTTAACCTTAAAAAACATATATTAAGCATAAAACATAAAAGCAAATTTGGCTCATGAGTCATTAGTCCCAAATAGGGGCCCCTGTGGATTAGAGGGATGTTCCATATGCCAAGCGTGGCTCCATAGGTGGTAGTTGAAGTTTTTGTGGTATATAGTAAAGAGTCAAGTTTATTGAGTTTTGTTAGTTTTCATTCATCTCGTAGAACATATGTTGGATTTCAAACCTGAGCTCCATGGATTTGATATTCCAGATGTTTGTGTGAGTGACGGTCTCTCCTGAGAAAGAGCAGTTTTGGCCTTGGGGAATTGGCTCCATTCATCTTTTACACTGTGGCAGAATATAACTACAAAGTTTAATGTCTACAATATAAAGTTTTATTCCCCGTTCTCGTCATACAGGATCAATAAATTATCTTATCAGGATCAATAGGGTATCATATGTTGTTGTAGGTGAACAAGCTGACAAAGGCAGTCTGAGGAAAAATTACTTTTTCATGTTGAGAAAGTGTGAGTGCCTCTGTGCAGCATTGAAAGGTCTGTGTAAACACACTGTATTTTTGCCTTTTTATGCACCATCTGTGCAGTTATATTGTTCTAGATTTAACCTTAAAAAACATATATTAAGCATAAAACATAAAAGCAAATTTGGCTCATGAGTCATTAGTCCCAAATAGGGGCCCCTGTGGATTAGAGGGATGTTCCATATGCCAAGCGTAGCTCCATAGGTGGTAGTTGAAGTTTTTGTGGTATATAGTAAAGAGTCAAGTTTATTGAGTTTTGTTAGTTTTCATTCATCTCGTAGAACATATGTTGGATTTCAAACCTGAGCTCCATGGATTTGATATTCCAGATGTTTGTGTGAGTGACGGTCTCTCCTGAGAAAGAGCAGTTTTGGCCTTGGGGAATTGGCTCCATTCATCTTTTACACTGTGGCAGAATATAACTACAAAGTTTAATGTCTACAATATAAAGTTTTATTCCCCGTTCTCGTCATACAGGATCAATAAATTATCTTATCAGGATCAATAGGGTATCATATGTTGTTGTAGGTGAACAAGCTGACAAAGGCAGTCTGAGGAAAAATTACTTTTTCATGTTGAGAAAGTGTGAAGAAATAGAGAGTAAGAATAGGAGTGATGTGAATATAAAATAATGAATGAACAGAAGTCTGTTGTGTTTGCCATTGCGTGACAATCACCAACATTTACATTTCTGCCCCTCAGAATGAACAGGATACTGTATTTGTGTGTGAGTCTTCCAGGTCTTGATCTTTGTGACTTTTTCAATCTGAGCCCCTACTGAGGGCAGAATTACCCAACTGTGTGCTGTGTGATAACAGCTAGTAGTAGTAGTAGTAGTAGTAGTGTGTGTGTGTGTGTGTGTGTGTGTGTGTGTGATGTTTCTGAGACCGCACTCCTTCGTCATCTAAGAGTTATCAGCTGTCATTGTGAATGCAGTCTGACAGCATGCACTGTTTTCTCTATGATTTGTGCTTAAGTTGGTTTACTGCAGAACATGCCTTTAAAATTTGTAACTTTATACAGACAGACAGGTTTCTGCTAGTGTGATCAAAGCTATGAGAAAATAATTTATCTCTTAAATGTGTTCTCTCCCGCAGGACCCTGTGTATGGGAAAGGAAAACTGGCTGAGATTCAGGGACTCATTTTAGGGATGCTAGAAACCTTCAACTATGAACAGGTAGTGTGTGTGTGTGTGTGTGTGTGTGTGTGTGTGTGTGT